ACATAGTATTGGTTCCATCTCTCTTATCCAATTCTTTGAGCATCCCACTCTCAGTGCGATTTTCAATTACTTTTTTTGTTTAATTTCTAAATGCTTTAACATGAATGTAGCCTTTATCATTGTCAGTTCCATTACAAGACACTTTTTCTTAAATATGTAGTCTTTTGGGAAAACAAATGACACATTTTAGCAATTTGATCTTTCTCATATGATTTATAGTTTAATCTTTCATACTCAAAGTTCCTAATTCTTTTGACCATTTGTGCTATCTTTACTGCTTTGAAATTTGCTACAGTTCATTTTTTGACATCAGTGATAAGTCAAGGATAAATATTCAATGTATTATTTTAATTGGAAGATCTCCTGCCTTTTGGTTATTTCACAATGAGTAACATCATTGACAGATGGTATTTGTGGAATAAACATAAAAAAAAAAAAGATAGGTATTTTCTGCTCTGTACAAGGATAAAATACATAGCTGGAGTAGGTTTCAGATTATCGGGAGAATTAGTCTCTTATGTAATAAAAAAGAATTATCTATTCATTCCATTTAAGCTAACTCTTGATTACCTCTTATTATAACAAATATTACGCAGTGCTTTTACTATCATGAAATAAATTCTAGAGATAACATAATCTATGTATTCACAAGATTGTTAAATCATTAAAATTCTCTAGTTAACATATGGAAGGAATAAAAGTAATACATAGTAAAAATAATATGCATTTCAATATTTAAAGTGCTCAGGCAAATCCACATGAACAGGCATAATAAAGTCGTCAGATACTTGTTCCTGTGCACAGAGTCATCATGAATTTGACAGTTACAAACATAGGCTGATACAGGTGTGCTTATTGGTGACTCCAGTACCATGGGCAGAGATGCCATCAGTGATGAGATCCTCTCATAAAGTAAACCACTCATGGTAATATTCTGAAAGACATAAAGTACACAAATCTTTTAATTTACATGGTAGTTGCATTCCTGGATAATTCAGTGTATATTAAATTCATGCAAAAAGTATTTTGAGATTATTTGTAAAAACAGATTTGAATTCTAAGACCATATCATTATAATCAGATTTTTTTAACTACATGAATAGCTGTGGAACATTTGAAAAACGGGTGGGATGCAGAACAGTTCTTCATTGTGCTGCACTGCCCTGCAAATTACAGGATGTCCACCATCCCTGACCTCCCACTAAATGCCAATAGCACCTTCCGATCATCTTGACCACCAAAAATATCCCTACAAATTTCCAAAATGCCTCTGGAGGCCACCATCACCCCATTAAGAACCACTGATTGAGACTAAGTAAAGATACTTTTTTGTAATTGAAGCACTGTGATCCTTTACATTTTACTTTTGTACTGAATTGATTTTCTAGATCAGGAAACTGAACTCACCCCAAAGGAACTGCATTCCAGTTAGAACAAGCCTTGCAATCCAAAAGGATACAGAAATCATTCCCTGAGAACTTGGCAGATATTTAATGTGAAAAACCCTTTCCTCCTTACATTGTGTGAACCCCTCTAGATTAGAAAAATGGGGGGTTGAAAAGTGGAGAGAAATTCACAGTTCCTAAAAAAGGAAGGCTTTTGATAGGGTAAAGTTGTGGTAGAGAAAAGACCAGACCCTGACTGTAAAATTACATTAATCTCTTCCAGATAACATGGTTAGTGCAAAATGGACTAGTTTCCCTGCTACCTCCACATCATTGCAGCTTATAAATAAATAGCTGCTTTTTTGATTGGCCTAAATTTTCACCTTTTATATTCTTTTATGAATAATTTAATGGCCTAGTGTTTCTGTACTGATGGCATAAAAAAGCACCACTCTTAACATTCCCTAAAGTGAGGGTTTTTTTTTTTAAGTACTAGAAAGCTGCTCTTGAAAGTTTCCATTCATTGACCATTGTCATTGGTAGATTTTCATATTAATTTGTAAATATTTTCACTGAACTTTGGCCCTGACTTTTTGAAAATGGTCTCCAAATGTGTTCTTGACATGTGTATGTGCAGCACAAGATAGACATGCAACTATCCAACTTCCAAATGCTAATTTTTTTAATTATTAAAAATCCACTTCCAAAAATTTAGAAAAGACGTTTTTGTATAAAATATTTATGTTACCATTCCTTAGTTTAGGGAGAATTCTCCCTCCCCCACCCCATTCTCTGTAATTCAATTGCTAACCTACCTTGCTTATTATTACATTTACTCCTAGCAATTTCCCTTCCTCTGACAGAAGCACACATTCTCATTATTTATACTCTTAAATTGCAAGGGTAAATGTTGACAGCAAGTGCAGATACTCAGTTATCTCAGGGACTTTGGTCTTCTTTTTAGCCCAGGACTAATCAAGCTGAGAGTGAGTCATCATAAGCTAAAACTAAAAAACTCTTGTAATGATTTTATTACCAGGGAAATTTGTTCATCCTTCAGAAAGATTGTCACCAGGAAAGAAAAAATAAAGGAGTTAAAACTGCTTCAGATCATTGACTCCATAGGTCCCTCTAGATTCATAGATTGAATTGGTTTTTAAGGGGTGGGAGGAATTATGAGAGGAGTTCCCTGAGAAAGCTTACAAATTGATCATAGCCTTGGTAACACTGGTAGGTGTAAGTGTGATCACTATGGAGGAAATGCCAAATGTGGCTGGAAGCTTGGGAAATGGGAAGGAAAAGAGACAATTAACACCTTTTCTTTTTTTTCTTTTTTTGCTTATTGTGCCATGTAACATGTATCTTTCAAATGGAAGAATGATCTTTCAAAAGGAGAAAGTACAATTGATTTTAAAATATTTTATTATTATAAGTGCAATTCAGTAGCTATTATTGAACTGAAACTAGGGTTGCAAGCACTATAGAAATAGTGACAGACATATCATAGACCTGTCCAGAAACTGGGCACCCTTCTAGATATACCCACAAAATATTATGTCAAGTTGGCATGTCTGAGCATATCTAGAACTGCTCACTTAGGTTTGGAGCATATAAATGCTTCCAAATTCAAAAGAATCCTTTAAGATTGTCATTTGAATAAATCAGTAAAAATAATAATAATAATAAAAATGTCTGGATGTTACATATATTTTTAAAATCTTGAAATTTTACACACCTATTGATACAGTTAGGCATATATATAATTTTTCCTCCAAGAATTCTGTTAAGAACTGTCAAAATCCAATTAGGCGCTTTAGAATTTACCAGGGTAAACCTACACATACCTCCTTCTCATTGATTAACATTGAATTTGCCCCAAATGAGTAAGCCAATAGAGACATGACCTCATTTTTTAGTCTGAATACAGTAACGTCGGGGACATTTCTCAAGCGTACGACTTCAGTACTGGATCTGAGTTCCAAATGCAGGTGCATAAGGCCAATGTGCAGAGGAGGGGGGGATAGAGAGCATCCTGGTGTAGACACCTATAAAGAGAGGGGTTCTGTAGTAGGGCCACATCCCACAGCTAAGTCACATGCAGACTGTAGCTTTCTGCTCTCTGGCCGACTGCAGCAATAGCATCCTTATTGTTGTAACTCCCAGATTGTGATACTGTCACAAAACTGTTGCTAGGCAACAAATGTGGTTACCAGGTCTCAGCGAATAGCTGAAGGGGAAAGCAAAGTGTTGCACCATTGTAGAGTAACCATAGCAATGACCTACTATTACAGACTAAAGAATTATCATTAACAATGTTAAAGTATCAGACAGAGGCCCTGAATCCAGAGACTTCCAAGCAGTATCTCTGCATAATTGAGTGATCTAGGAAGAGATTTGAACTCTTTCAAGCTTTTCATTCGTTATTTCTATGAAACAGTCTGCATAATTTTTATTTTTTAATTTAAAAAGTATTCAGTTATGAAGCTGCCGGTAAAATGATACAAGCCATCCCAAGTAGTCAAAAATAGATTAATCTGTTTCATCTATTCTTATGTCGACATCAATGTTATTTGCTGCGTCTGTTACATTGAACGTAGATTTGATTTGAAAAATACTGTACATTAGTATTAAATCGAAGCCACATTAAAAAGGTATAGTAAAATAAAATAGCACCATAAATTGACAGCTAACCTGCATTTTCTAAGTTGAACCCCTCCTGACAAAATAGGAGGCCTAGATGGTGTTTTAGTAGAAACTACTTTGAAACAACCTTTTAGCTTTTCTAAATCTGCCTCCTAAAATCTGTAAAAAGGTCGCCTGCTAGGCTACTTCAAGGCACGGTCTCTTTTGAAGCTGGTCCTCCATTAAGTGTCCCGTTTGGTTTGTTCTCAATGACCTCACTGAGACAGTCATGTCTAACAGCACAGCTTCCGGGAGAGGCGAGAAAAATCCGATCTATTTTTCTCGGGAAGCCAAGAAACTTGGCTGCTCTGGGCTGGGTGTGGAAGCCGGATCCCGCGCGCA